CATCAATAAGTGCCAGTTATGATAATTACCAATTGCCTATATCATTATGTCCTTATATCATTGCTTTAGATAGTATCCCAAAGTGTGTCTTTTGGTATTTATGGCTATTTGCAGTTTCCTTTATGTTACCAAAGCTTGTTTTCTAAGAAATGTCTAACAGGTGAATATTGTTTAATATACAGCCTTAAAGAACTGTTAACATTATTTCTAGGTACACACAATACCCTGAATTTCCCCTTTATTTTTAAATTGAAAATTCAGTTATTTAGAACATGAAAATCATATTCACTTTTGTGCCTCTGTTTTTCCATCTGTAAAGTGGAAGTTGTGAGTTGACCAAATGAAAGGACGTAGGTTGAGAGCTTAGCACAGAATTTGGCATGGAGTAAAGTTTGTACCTCACCCCAAGGTTACAAAAGTGATAGCTGGAATGGCCATGAATCAAACCTGGATCTGACTCAAATCTGAATCCAGAAAAGATGATGAGGATGATGGCGATAATGATAATGGCGAGTTAATAACTCAATGCTATTATGCTCCAAATCTACTCTATTTTTGGAGACTGGCTAAGCATTCAGGATTTTAAAGATCTTCCTTTTGTGGGGCACCTGAGTGGCTCAGTCATTTAAGCGTCTGACTCTTGGTTTTAGCTCAGGTCATGATCTCACTGGTTTTGTAAGTTCAAGCCTACATCGGTCTCCATGCTGACAAGGCAGAGTCTGCTTAAGATTCTCTGTCTCCCTCTCTCTCTGCCCCTCCCCCACTTGTGCTCTTGCTCTCGCTCTCTCTCTTTCTTTCAAAAACAAAGAAACTTAAAAAAAAATTTTAAATCTGCCTTCTGCCTTTGTTACTGTTGGCAACAATGCTTTTGCAATGCCATTTCAGGGCTTTCTCTTACCTGAGAATAGAACATTAAGGCTGTTGTTTAGGTTTCCTACCAGTGATGTCCACTATGATCGAGGTTTGAGCACTGCTATATCCTTATTGACAAATGCAGAAGCTATGTCAACATTTTTTTTTATTACTTCACTGCTTACATGATTATGACTTGTGAATTTCAGCTCTCTTTCAAAAATATTTATGACAATATGACATTTGTGAGAAATCCAAGTATGGTTTTTCAGGAACCATTAAATTACACACCAAAAAAATGCACAATTAAGCTATAAGAAGGTTGAAACTAATTGGGTCAGCCAAATCATATAAACATTTTAAAATATTTTTTAAATTTTTATTCATTTTTGAGAGAGAGAGAGAGAGAGAGAGAGAGAGAGAGAGAGACAGAGCACAAGTGGGGTAGGGGTAGAGAGAGAGGGAGACACAGAATCTGAAGCAGGCTCCAGGCTCTGAGCTGTCAGCACAAAGCCTGATGTGGGACTCAAACCCACGAAACGCGAGATCATGGCCTGAGCTGAAGTCAGATCCTTAACCAACTGAGCCACCCAGGAGCCCCTCATATTAATTTTTTTAAGTAAATTTAAAAAAAATTTAAAATTTTTAAATTTGAGATGTTGACTCACGATAGTTCAGAAAGAACTCATCCAAACAAGAAGTTGAAAAACATCTATTACATAAGTTCATAGTATTTTTGTTTGTTTAAACTGGTCTTGCACTGCAAATTCATAACAGCTTTATGTTGACATAAAAAATCAGTGGGGAAAGGCTGATTTTGAAATTAACCAGAGTTATAACTTAATTAATACTTTGTTTTCCTTGAAATCTTTATTGGCAGGAAGAGCTTATAGTAGTTTGACAATAAGAGCAGTCTCAGAAATCTCCCACATCATGCCTCTGAGCTTCTGAACATGTCTCTGTATTTTTCACTGGGTTTTTTGACTGAGAGCATACGAGAATTTTAAGAACTGCTAACACTATAATGAGTTCTTTCTCTACTAGCCCTTCAACTAGTAGAAAAGTTAGTGAAGGAGAAAAGAATATTTCTTGTTGTTTGTTTAGATCCCAAGATAAAGTTTATTGACTAAGAGATAGTGGCTATTTCCGTAATTGTCAAAAATTCCCTATCTATATAGCATGATAAAAGTGAAAGGTTGTAGGATTTGTGTTAGAAAAATATGTTTGCTATTTACGTTTTCCTTGTAATATAAATATAAAATCAAAAATTGGGTCCTCATTTCTTAGAGCATTTTCTTTGAATATCTTTCTTAGTTTTTCTTCAGTTTCTTAGCTAGCATACCTCAATTATTTCTATAGTATTTGTTCCGCTTAAATTACCTATAAGAACCCTTGTTAGTTATCTCCAGACTAAAGTCTTTTTTTTTTTTTTCTTAATGTTTATTTTTTGAATGAGAGAGAGAGAGAGAGAGACAGAGTGTGAGTCAGGGGAGGTGTAGAGAGAGAGGGAAACCCAGAATCCGAAGCAAGCTCCAGGCTCTGAGCTGTCGGCACAGAGCCCGACATGGGGTTCAAACTCACAAACTGTGAGATCATGACCTGAGCCAAAGTCGGACACTTAAACGACTGAGCCACCCAGACGTCCCATCCAGACTAAGGTCTTAAACTGTGAGATCATCAGTTTATTATACGTCTTATTTTGTTCCAAGACATTTTGCATATGCATACCAGTGAGTTGGTGAGCTTACAATGGAGCTTCTTTCCACTTTATTTCTTATTTTTGAAGTTCCCATTTGTGGATAAGGTCATGTATACAAGTGAGGAGAGCACTGAACTCACACTTTCATTAGGATCTATAGTTGTGTACTATATCAAGCATTAAGAACCTATTCCTGATAATGTCAAAGGATTCATTCCCACCATTCCTGCACTTTCTGGACTGGGAAAATCTATTTTTGAAGAAAAGGCTTTTGGGCACCTGGGTGGCTCAGTCAGTTAAGCCTCTGACTCCATCTCAGGTCATGATCTTATAGTTCATGAGTTCAAGCCCCGTGCCAGGCTCTGTGCTGACAACTCAGAGCCTGTAGCCTGCTTCAGATTCTGTGTCTCCTTCTCTCTACCCCTCCCCCACTCATGCTCTGTCTCCCTCTCTCTCTCAATAATAAATACACATTAAAAAATAATAATAATAAGATAAGGCTTTGGAAATAGTCTCTAAAAGATCTTGTCACCCATCTATAGTTTTTTTTTTCTTTCAAGTTTTTATTTAAATTCAGTTACCTCACATATAGTGTAATATTAGTTTCAGTAGTAGAATTTAGCCAATTCATCACTTACAAGCAATACTCAGGGCTCATCACATATGCTTTCCTTAATCCCCATCACCCGTTTAACCCATCCCCCCCCCAACTACCTCCTGTCAACCAACCACCAGGTTGTTCTCTATATTTAAGTGTCTATTTCTTTTTTTAAAAAAAAATTAACATTTATCCATTTTTGAGAGACAGAAAGAGATAGAGCATGAGCAGGGTAGGGCAGAGACGGAGAGAGACACAAAATCCGAATCAGGCTCCAGGCTCTGAGCTGTCAGCACAGAGCCTGACATAAGGCTCAAACCCACATACCAGACCACGAGATCATGACCTGAGCCGAAGTCGGACACTTAACCGACTGAGCCACCCAGGCACCCCCACGTCTATAGTTTTTCTAATTCTCTCTGGTTTTCTGTGAAATTTTGTCTTTCTTAAGCCACCTCTGGGGATCTTCCTGCATTGTTTTTACCTTCCCTAATTAGTATCTGAATTTTCTACTAACATAGGAAATAATTGATGCAGAGCTAGAGGTTGTCTTTTCTTATAAAATTATTCCAAGTTCCTCTGAATATGTTTGTCTATTTGCCTAGGTTTAGGAAAGTCTAAAACAATGACTTTTAACTCATATGATCACAATTTAAAATTAACTCTAAAAATGTTTCCTTTTCTGAAAAGGTTTAATATAAATAAGCAATTGAACTTTGGGCTTTCTGCCTGACAAGGAGGTAAATAAGGCTGATCAGAAAGAGAGGGAAGCAGGTAGTGGAGGAGCACAGGGTAGAGGAATCATAGAATAAAAGTCATTAGTCTGTTAATATCACCAAGATGGTAACACAGATTGACATAGGTTGTTCCTAAGTTCACCCTCCCTCACAAGAGAAACGGAAAAAAAAAAAAAAAAAAAAAAAAAGAAAAAGACATCATTGAGAGAATTATAGAACATGGAGGTGAGGCTGAAGCACCTCCCTGTACCACAGAGACAAGGACAAGGCCAACTGCATTAGAAGAATAAAAGCAGTGGCTACTCATTACCTACCTCATCCCTCCCACTGGCCAGAGCAGCACCACACTAAAAAGTCTCCCCTGAGTCCTCCATTTCTCCAGTGGGAAAACAGAGCCCACAGGAATAACAAGCCCTCACCTAGCATTGGGAGTTGCTTTGCTGAAGTCCTTACTCTGATCTTATACTATGAGAATTACAGGGGAATTTGAAGAACCCAACCACTAGGAATGTGATGGAGAAGAGGGGAGGGGCTTGCGACAACCAGCACACATATCTTAGAAGATCAAGTTCATACCTACAGTGCTCAAAGTAGTAATCCCAACCAGCAGTTTTATTCATCTACACAGTCAGAGGAACACTCTGGCCATGGAATGTGTTTGGTGCAGATCTGCCTGATTCAGATATATTATAAAGTTTTAGTCATCAAAACAATATGGCACTGCATAAAATCTGACAAAAGAGCAAGAGAACAGAATTGAGAACTCAGAAAGTAACCCAAACATACATAGTCAACTAATATTTGACAAGGGAGCCAACACTACTCAATGGAGAAAAAGGTCCTTTCAATAAATAGTGCCAGAGAATTGGATTCTCACTTGTAAAAGAATGAAACTGGACCCATTTCTTACACCACTAACAATAATTAGCTGCAATTAAATACTTAAATGTAAGACCTGAAACCATGAAACTCCTGGAAAAAAAAATAAAGGAATAGAAAGTCTTTGCCATGGGTCTTAGTAATAATTTCTTTGATAGGACACCTAAACCACAGGCAACAAAAAAAAGTAAGTAATTGGAACTATATCAAACTAAAAACTATCTGCACGGTAAAGTAAAGCATCAACACACTGAAAAAGTAACAAGTGAAATGGGAAAAAAGATATTTGCAAAAATTTATCTGATCAAGGTTCATTTCCAAAATATATAAAGAACTCAAACAATTCAATTGCCAAAAGATAAATAACCTAACTAAAAAATAGGCAAAGGGCCAGATTAGGCATTAAAGGACAATACGTACCTTAAAAAGATGCTCAACATCACTAGTCATCAGGGAAATTCAAATTAAATCTGCAAAGAGATATCACTTCACACCTGTTAGAAGAGCCATGATCTGGAAGACAAAAGATAACAAATGCTAGTGTGTATATGGAGAAAAGTGAACCTTTTTGCACTGTTGATGGCACCAGGCACCATGGAAAAAACATGGAGGATCCTCAAAAACTTCAAAGAATTACCGTATTATCCAACAATTCCTCCTCTGGGAATATATCCAAAGAAAGGGAAAACAGTAACTTGAAAATATTTTTTTGCACCCACACATTCATAGCAGCATTATTTACAAAAACCAAAACATGGAGAGAACCTCAGTCTCCACTGATGGATTAAATTGTCTGGTTCCAAGGAAAGGGTCTTGAGTCAGAGTGGGAACCCCTCTGGTCATGACCAGATCTTACAGGGCCCTCCAGGTTTGCTGACTCCTATTTCCACAAAATCAGCACAGGAATAATACATTGATTAGGCAAACCTAAATGTACAAGAACTATCGGCCTCCACTTTCAGTCTTTAATGTTTCAGAGTGGAAGGTCACAGTATAGTTGTAAGTTTGAGTGATCTAGAAAAGTTATTTTAGGCAGTTGTTTTCCGTCTGTAAATATGTTCTATTTTTGAACTCCACTTGTTTTGAGGAAATACCCGGGTCTTCTCTGGCCTGATGTGGATTCCATATTTCCACTTTGGTGGGAAAAAAAACATGGCGTCTGCTCCTCTGTCTGAGTTAAGGTTTTGAATTAGGTTGTCCTTCTCTGCCTTCTACTGGCACCTTGCCTCTTCTGTCTTGCCCTCCCCCTGCTCTTTCTGCACCAACTTGGGTGTGGTCTACATAATTGGTTCCTATACCCTCCTCAGTGCCTCAGGCACCATTGGCTCCTCCTCCAATCCTCAAGGTCAAGGAGTAAAATGCACCCCCCTGGACATCTAGGTCTTTTCCAAATAGAATGAATTGCTAAAACTTTGATTACTGAACATAGGTTTGTGTTTTTAACTTCTTATTGCAGAGAAATTAAGGCTATTTGGACCCATTGGAAAACATGCTTTGTACTTAATTGGTTCATGAATTTACCATCTAAAAAATTCTGGTGTAAACACCTCTCAGTTGGTTACTAAGTCCTCAATTGGAGACTAAGGTTCCCTAAGATTTAAAATTCTGCTAAGTGTACTTAAAACAGATGTAAATAAGGAAAGCAACCCTGTATGTAGGAAAGTAGAAGGTATGTAAAAAAGATATAAGAAATGGAAATACATTTTTGTTGAGGGTAGAAGAAGGTAATTTTGTCCTAAATGAGACTGGTTATTTGGAGAGAAATGGCTTTGGGACAAAGTTTGAAGGCAAAGGAACGTTGTAAAAGGTTCATGAAAGGAAATCTCTGAAAAGGGATATTATGTGTGTTCAGGATGGACTAAGGTTGAGATGAATGGAATTTTAAAAGTACACTGGTATAAAGTTGAAATTCTGCTTTTCTCTCTGCTCAAATGACAAAGTTTTCTTGGACTACTGATCTGCTCTGGACAAGACAATGCAAACAAAGGTTTGTCTTCCAGGAAAACCAAAGTTTTAAGTTTCATCTTTATCAGGTCTTTGATTACTTAGTTAAAACTTCCCAATGTTAGGGGTGCCTGGGTGGCTCAGTCAGTTAATCATCTGACTTCGGCTCAGGTCATGATCTCATGGCTTGTGAGTTTCAGCCCCGTGTTGGGCTGTGCTGACAGCTCGGAGCCTGGAGCCTGCTTCGGATTCTGCGTCTCCCTCTCTCTCTCTGCCCCTCCCCTGCTCATACTCTGTCTCTCTCTCTCAAAAAATAAATAAACATTTAAAAAAAATTTTTTTTAAACTTCTCAATGTTAAAGGAGCTAGGTTTGGGTAACAACTATATAATGCTATACATTCACCTTTAGGATCTTTTATTGCCACCTTGGTTGAATAAATAAAGTTTTAATATTTGTAGTAATCTGTAATCCTATTTAGGATGCACTTATAACTTCCTAAGGTTTTAACAAACTTCCCAGGATTTAAATGGTAAATGAATTCTTTTTGACCAATTAGGCCCTTTTATTTGGGATGCTAAGTTACTTGGAAAACCACTGTCGTACAACGGTAAACCTTAGGTTGTACTGCATAAGTAAATGCTGTAACTGCCCAAATATATATGCAATTCCTAAAGTTTGAATGTTTTGGTATAAGGTCATCACTTAATATTCTGATTACTCGAAGTGTTACGTGTTGCAGAAATAACCAAATTTCTTTGTCAACTGCACCATAATGAACTCTCATCAGATCTTTAACAATGTCTATTTCTGAGATTTTGTCATTTATAATTGTTCTTATTCTCTCACAAAATGTGTTTCTTCTTCAAGGAAATTTATAAAGAGGACTTTGGGGACAAATACAGGTATTCGACATCTTTAAGATTAATACTAAAATCGGTAAGAATTTCCAGAACTAAAAAGCTTTATTCAAATTGAACAAGAATTAGGAAGATGGGATTAAATGAACTGAGAAAGGTTATAGTTTTGTGATTCTTGTTGAAAATATTGTTGGTTCTCTAATGTTTGCTCTTCTAGATTAAGGACACTTTCTCTTAAGATATCTATCATATACAGAAATGGCATAAAGTATTCATTTGTAAACTAAAGCATTTATCTTTTCTCTCTACATAACTCCCCTGAAATTCAAAAACTCACAGTGAGCATTCTTTCTTTAATGGCAACTACAATTGTTTGCATAAGTTCAATAAGAATCTGTTCATCTTGTAACAGGTCACCATTGGAAATACTGGTTATTTTACCAAGGTTTTGACTGGAATGTCATATTTGAGAGTGACATACATAGACTCAGATATGACCAGACAGCTTTAAGGAACTAAGGTTGGATTTATGAAACATGGAGCCATAAAGTCCCTTATTAGAAATGTTGGCCCGATACCTTACTTACAGAGTTCCCAGCAGCCTCACCAAGTGAGTAAAGGTCACTTCCTGGCAGGTGCAGGAACCTCAGGATATCTTGGGGACCTCATGAAGAGGAATTCGCCCAGTTCTACAGGTATTGCAGGCCTGTCTGATGGAAAGTATTTGGCTTGGCTTCTGGCCTGGAGAGGCTACTAAAAGTTCAACCCACAGATTCCTTATAAAAGGTTCCAGCAAAGCAAACTTTAAAAGATCCTCATGATCAATCACTATTCTTGTTGAGCTTATGTAAATAATTGGGCCAGGTTTGTTAAGACTGGACTTTTTCTACAAATGCATTGGTCTCAATTTGGCTATCTCTGGAAAGGGGGGGTTTTTAGAGAGAACAACTATGTTTCAATAATGCACCATTATGGATGTTAAATTCTAGTTATGATTGCCTTTAAATGTTTGTTGTTTGCCTAAACTGGACAACTTGAGATAAACTTCAGAAAACTGTCACAGTATTTCATATATAGGCAATCTTCTGTGCTTGTTATACTATGGGGATAATAATAAGACCTCATGGGCATATGATTATTTAAACAACTGGAAAACAGGATGGATCTCTAAATATGCAAACCATATCTTCCCTAAACCTGATCTGAAAGTTACCAGAAACCCGCCCCTTTTGAAAACTTGGAGGTGGACTTTACAGATATACAACCAAATAGAGGATTCAGTTTCAGGTATCAACCCATGGGTCCCTCACTCCAGAGTTAAGAAGGCCAACTCAGAGGAACCCTCAACCTGGTGAAGTGATCCAAATCCAGTCAACCCACTTAAACTGACCCTCAAAAAGACACTGGCCCCTGAGACCTCCAGCCCTCCTCCAGCCACACCCTGGAAGCTGGATGATCTCCAATGGCAGAAGCTTGAAGAATCAACACGTGAACCTAGCCCAGGGGGTTGGATGCAACTCTGCCAGCCCTTGCCCCTTAACTGGTGTCACAGCCCTGATCTCACTTCTTTCTGTTGGGCTGATAAAGATTGCACCAACAAGCTGGACATGGGACAAAAGATGCATGCTGGGTCTCAGATACCTCCTCTGGATGGGAGGATTATTAAATATTGCCTTTATATTATGATAACCTCTTTCACCCTCACAACTGCCACTTACCCACTTTGCCCCCAGGATTGTTATATGACAATAAGGGGGTCAAGGACATTCAGCCCCTTCACCTCGCTCTGCAAAGATTGCTACAAGGAAAAAACACCCACTCTCTGTCAGTCACCCAGTGCCCCAAGGACTAAGTATTGGGCCATAGAGATAACCAAATATATCGGGAACCCATGTTACAACAAGGGCCTCCAGAAAGGGAAGTGAGCTTGCTACACTTACCTTCTTCAATGAGTGATCTCAGACAGGGGAGGGGTGCAAGACAGGTCCCTTCAAGAAGCTATAAAGGATACCCAAGATAGGGTAATACAAGCCGTTAAGGCAAACACTCCCCTGGCAGCCTACCAAGGTTTGAACCTTTCAGCCCTCAATCATATGCTTACCAATTCACCACTCCAGTGTTGGGCCAACACTACACTACAAGTCCTCTATAAAATAGATAATCACACCCAAACCTGATGGATGTGTTTGTCCTTCAGCCAGAGGGCTTACTTAGCCACTCCCATCTCTTTGACCTAGGAGGCTCCTGAAAATCTCGAAACCAACACCTCTGTCTTAAGTGACCCTGGCCACTGGGATCTGTCTCACAAATGCCGACAATCTAATCTGTGCAGTCCCTGAAGGTATGAACAGTACCTCTCTATGCAGAAGAAATATAACCTTAAAAAGGAATACAACCCTACATTCAATCCCTGGGGTGTTCTACCTGTGTTCTAATTTGGCCTACCGGTGATGCTTAGAGGCCAACTGGACTCAGATATGTTATCCATCTTCCTAACCCCAGAGATATCCGTATACACTGAAGATCAGTTCCTAACAGCCTTTAGCCCCAAGTCCAGGGCTAAACTGGCAATCCTGCTACCCGTTCTGATAGGAGCAGGAATTGTGACAGGAATAAGAACTGGAATAGGCAGCATAGGTTCATCCATAGGACTATACCATAGGCTATTTCAAGAGCTAAATGAAGACATGGAACGGGTGGCAGATTCTCT